CCAAAAAACCCCACTCCTCCAAACTTTAATCTTCACCCAAGGAAATCACCCAGATTTATAGCCTAGGTGCCATTCTTGACTTTTCTTTCTCTTTTACTCCCTTGCATCTAATTGCCAAATTTTAGTGATTCTACTAACAACTTTTGCATTTGGCTCCACACACCTGTGATTCAGTCCCGCATCATCTCTCACCTGGATTGTTGCAGTAACTTCCAAATTGGTCTCATTATTTCTAGAGTCCCCCATCTCTAATTCAACCTCTCAGATAGCTGTCAAACTACTAAAACAGCAGATTCCTATATCATGCCCCTTCTACTCAAAATCATCTATGACCTCTTTTCTTCTAAGATACTAGAAGATGAGCTCCTTGGCCTAGTATTTTTTCAGTCTTCCACAGTTTGGCTCCTAACTACTTTTCTAAACTTCTTTAATATTACTCCATAATTTATGTCCAGCAAACTAGCCCACAAGCCCTTCCTTGAATTGAACATGCTTTTTCTGATTTCCATGCCTCTATGCCTGGAATGAATGCTCCTCCTTCCCTCCCTCCATTCCTTCTTTTGCAAAGACTTTCTTGGTTCCCCCCTCAAAAAAAATTGTTAGTACTCTGTTCCTCCTGAGATTACTTCTTTACCTATCTGTAAACATGTTATATTTGGTACTATCTTGCTTACTACACTGCTTAGCACAGTGATTTGCATATAGTAGACAGTAGGCTCTTAATAAATGCTTATTGAATTGACTCAAAATGAATCTTATAAATATCATAGCAAATTTTTTACCAGCATTTTGAAATGGTTTTTTAAAATAAGGATTTCCTGGATTTTTGTTAGTCAAGCTTTAGGTATGAATGAATTTTACTGGGACCACATGGGTGTCATATTGACCGCAACCCAGGCTGACTTGGATTCATTCTGTTGTCCACCAGTGAGTTACACTAGTGCCTTGTTGATATAGATGGAATGATTCTCTATTGGTTGTCCTTTCCTCTCTAAAAATAGAATAGTTCTTTGATTTGTCTGTAAGGAGCTGCTAAGGTGACAGTGCTACTTCTCCAATTATTAGTAATTGAAAATCCATGAATGTTTCTATTATGCACTCCACCATCTCCTCATGCCTTGATCTCCACATATTCCCCAAATCTACCACATTCTTCTATTTTATTTCTTTATTGCTTGTTTAGAGCCTGTCCTAAATCAGGGGTACAGGGGAAATTTCTTTTTTTAGTTCTTCCTTCAATTAAAAATACTAATTTTTTTGTTTAGTTTGTCAATGATATTTGAGCCATGTTAGTTAGAAGAGGCTACTTCTTTGTATCACTTCTATATCACTGTATATCACAGTGTATATCACTTGATATACACGGATGTTTTCTAAATCATTCAGATTTTTCATGTTCCTTAAGTTTTCATTGAGATGCCCATATCAAAAACTGTGTGTCCCTCAACCCCTGCCCCCATAAGTTAGCCCTGAACTAGATTGGTTGATTTTCAGGTGTTTTTAATTTAGTCAGGATATCGGTTAATGTAAATTAATCCAAATACTCATTTTCATGGTGAAAATGGTTTCCTTTGTAAATTCAGGGTATGGCAAAGCTAATTAAGACATCCATTTTGGGTGGCTCTAAATGTACTTTTGTTTTTAAATAAAGTGTAAGCCTATAGAGTCTGTGGTATAGATGTGTCATGAATTGTTAGAAAATTATAAATGGCAAACCAGACCCTAGCAATGGAATTATCAGTGGATGTAAAACACCCTGTTTTATTTTGTTGGAATAGAAAAAAAAAGGAATAAACAAATTAGCTGAATGTAACCATGTTTGGGGCAGATTTGGAAGTGGCCTAAGTGCTAGTTGTACTCTGGGAAAGGTGAAAGATTTATTATTGATAGGGTGTATGTCCTCCAGAAAGGCAGTGAGAATTAAAGTACTTTGTTAAGCTGGGCTTATGCTACTTTTTTGAAGACATGGTTGCCCCTGCAGATAAATACTAAATTTTATGAATGTTAAGCTAAATAGTTTTAAAATTGGATCATTCAAGTGTTTAACATAAGCTGTTTTCAAGTTAACTCCATTGGTTTTGGTATGGACTAAAAATAAATATAACAATTTCCTCTACACCCCTATCTTTCACTCAGGATATTGGATTTTTTCCCCTATTTTGCTATTTTAGAATAATCAGAAGTGTTCCACATTCATCTCTCTATCTGCCTACCAACCCCAGACATGCATCTCAAGCTCATGAACCCTTTTAAGGTGATCCCTCAAATCCACTATTCTCCTTGGTCTAATCTGGAGACTCAGAGAAATAAAGCTTCCAAATGTAATCTTGTGGGGGGGAAATGGGCCACTTGTTTTGGTATAGTGTTCGCTGTGATTAAAAATAAATCACTGGATGCCTTGTAGGTCATCTTTGATATCATGGATGGCTTGAGAGACTTGTATCCTTTACGTGTAGAATTTAGAATCTCTGTAGCCACTGAGAAGGCCAGGAAGGACCTGACTTGTCTAGGAGGCCCCAGAACCTCTAGTGCCAACGCAGGCTCAGGGCTGGGCTGGGTTTTCCAGACCCATAGAGGGTCTAGGTATGGTAGAGTTACGTTGAGATTTGTATTCTGGAAAGTCAGAGGCACTTTATAGCCCAGCAACACTGAACTTAACTGCAATACAGCCATAGACATCTTTCCAGTCTGCTGCTGTCCCAGGTTCTATCTGCTGCTGAAAATTACCAGGACATTCATTTAAAGGTGTGTAAAGAATTGAAAAGATACTCTCACATGAGCCTGCTTATGGGGAGAGTTAGAGCCCACCCTCTTGTTTGTGTCATTACTTTTCTCCCCAAGGATTTATTTAGTCATAACACCTGCGGTCCTAGCTAGTCCAGTCCCTGCCTTGTACCCTACTACCAAGGGTTCCAGGGTCAGCAGGACAGTTAAATTTCAGAGCCATTGAAACGCCATACAACTTTAGGTACCACATTTTGGGGAAAAGTGCTTACCCCCATCAAAACTTAATTTGGGAATCTCATTCAGCAGAGGCTACCATCATCCTACGTCTGATAATGGGACATAATGATACTTTTTCAGATTATAAAGCATCAATCACCAAGAGATAAAAATCAAGACTTGGTGTGGGCATCTTTATTAGGCTTGACAGCACCATGGAAGTTTACATGAAGTTATGAATTTACTTTTTTGGCCATGGAGAAAATTGTTCACAATCTTACTTTTAATTTGGTATATCTGTGACTTTCAAAACAAAATCAAATCACAACACAATTCACAAAGTCAGAGATGGAAGTCATCTACTTCCACAACAGGAAGGAAACTAGCATTTATTAAACACCTGTTGTGTACCAGGCACTATGCTAAGCACTTTACAAGTGTTATTTCATTTAATTCTTACAACCACTCTGGGAAGCAGGTACTAGTATTTTATCCATTTTATAGTTGAAGAATCTGAAGTACAGCGTAAGTGACTTGACCAGTGTCACACAGCTAATGATCTGGGGTCAGATTTGAGCTTGTTTTCCTGTCCCCAGCTCCAATGTTCTATGTACTTCAGTACCTAACAGGATCAAATATAAAGGGCTTAGGACAGTTCCTGGCACAGAAGGAATTTAATAAATGCTTGTTTCCTCCTTTCCACAGCCCCAACAAGCTGCCATTGAAACACTGCTTGAAGATCTGCAGTAATAGGAAACACGCTGTTCTATGTGAGCAAATCACTTAACCTCTGTTTACCTCAGTTTCCTCAGTTATAATATGGGGATAATAATAGCATTTACCTCCCAGGGTTGTTGTGGGATCAAATGAGATAATAATTGTTGAGTGTTTAGCACAGTGCCTGGAACATAATAAGCACTATATGAATGTTGGCTATTACTGTTATTTTCCCACTTCCATGCTTCTTAGAGGCATCTAGTGGTGCAATGGATAAAGCACTGGGCTTGAAGTCAGGAAGACCTGTGTTCAAATCCACACTCAGACACAAGCTGTGTGACCTTGGGCAAGTCACCACCTCTGCCTCAATTTCTTCAACTGTAAAATGGTGATAAGTTACCTTACAGAGTTATTGTGGGAATTAAATGACATACTTATAATGCACTTAACACAGAGGCTGGCACCAAATAGGTGCCATATAAATGCTTATTTCCTTCCTCTTCTCTGCTACCACCCACCTTTTCGGACTACCCTAGCTGAAAGTATTTCCTGATGTCCAACCTTATGTCCAGCCTCTGACACAAGCCATGTGTGACCAGGGGCAAGTCATCTAAGCCCTCTGAGCCCCAGGCTCCTAATGTGTAGCAGGAGGATAATGCCTATAATCCCTACCTCTCACACTTGTCATGAAGTTTAAATGAGATGATATATCTAAAGCATTTGCAAACTTCAGAGTTCTACCTAAATGTTGGTTGTTGGCAATGACGATGAAGATTGTGATGATGTCTGCCTCCTCCTTTGGCCAAACAGAATGTGTTGAATATGTCACACAAAAGGATATCAAATCAAAATATCAAAAATCAAACAAATATATATCAAATATCCTCTCTCCTCCATGACAACTTTTTCAAATAATTGAAAACAGTAGTCATCGCCACTCTAAATCTACTCTTCAGGCTAAACATAGCCAGCCCTCAAGCTTATCCTGGTGTGGTGACATTTCAGGTCCCTTCATTATTCTGGCTGTCATCCTCTGAACACATTCCAGCTTTCCAGTATCCCTCCTTTAACTATGGCATTAGTACTATCTAATACCAGCCCTTTCTTAACAGCAAGTGATTTCAGGTGGATCAATACTACCAAAAGTTATGGGGAAGAAGCCAAGGATAATTTGCTACTGTTCATACCCCACCCAAACCTCCCCTACAGACCACCAATGGGCTCAATAAAGACTTGATAAACGACATACAGTTTAGTTGAAAGCCTGCTTTGTCGTGGTCAGTGCTATAACAAGTCTCACAACGGCAAACACTTAGCATTCTATGGACAAAAAAACTCACCAGACTTGCTTCAGTGCACTTCATGTACAGGATGCAGTGCCAGAGGATTGTGAGTCTTCATGTTGTTAGGTAGTGACCATTTACACATCCCATTCATGGGCTCTCTAGAAAAAGGACATGTTTTCATTTCTGACTGTTCAGAAAATAAAGATTTCTTGAAAAGATTCTTTGGCAATGGTACAATTTTGAAAGATTAAGAAAGTACTTTTGAATTTCCCAAAGTGTACTTTTCTTGATACTAGTTTGCATTCTATTCATTTTATCAATAATTTAAAAAATTAAAAAACACTTCTCTTTAGGTATTAGGGGAGATAAAAAGATGAATATGATTCTCCTGCTTTCAAAACACTAGTGATTTAATATGGGTGAACATTTCATTCTTCATGAAAAAATTATTCATAGAATATTTTGCATTACATAGGCCTTGGAGATGGATAGGGAAATTTTTAAGTGACCTTACCCTCAAGGATTTCAGTCTATTGGGGAAGGGGAGAGTGGTAAGTTAGGAAATATACACAGATTAACTCAATACACCACTAGTGCAAAGGGGAAATAGAGGGATTTGATCAAGGAGAAGAATCACTTATGAAAGATAAGTGTAGTCTTCTTGGAAGAGGGGGTACTTGATTTGGGCCTTGTTCTGTCAGGTCAAAGTATCCACTGTGACCACCAGTTTCCAATCTATTTTATGTTCCCCTTTTAGAATGTAAATTCCTTGAAGGCAGGAATTGTCCTGCTTTTCTATTTCCATACTAGCATTTAGCTTAGTGACTGGTGCAGGGTAATCACTTAATAAATGCTTCCCCTACCCCCATTCATTTCTTCTTTTAACCCAAGATTGGTTTTGGATATCAATAGGCAGAAATTGGAAGACAGCATTTTAGGTATAGGGAAGAGGGCTAATCACTCAACAAATAGTTAAGTGCCAAATAAGAGCCTGTGCTAGGTGCTGTGTGTACAAAGAAAAAATTTTAAAGTCCCTGCTCTCAAAAAGTATGGGAAATACAACATATGCATAAGTAAGTATATACAGGATAGATGCAAACTAAAAACATGATCATTTTGACAAAGGGATCATTGGCAGGTGGGCGTTAGGATGGGAGAATCAGGAAAGGCAAGATGATGCTTGAGCTGAGTGTTGAAGGAAGTAAGGAATTCTGTGAGGTAGAGATGAGAAGAGAATCCATTTCAGGCTGGGATATGACCTGTACAAAGTCATGAAGACAGAATGTCATGTATGAGGAACAAGAAAGAGGCCAATTTAGCTGGACAGAGTGTAGAAAGGGGACTAATGTATAATGAGGCTAGAAAGGTAAAGTCTGGACTAGTTTGTGAAGGGCTTTAAATGCCAAACAGAGGAGTTAAAATTCAATCCTAGAAGAAAAAGGGAGCCTCTGGAGGTTATTGAATAAGGCTGTAAAAGGATCAGATCTATACTTAAGGAATTTGGTGTCTTTGTGGAGGGTGGATTGAAGTGGAGAGAGACCAGGCAGGAATTCTAAGACTATAAGTAGTAGTAGTAATTAGTAATAATAATAAATGGCTAGAATTTCTGTAGTGCTTTAAGGTTTTCAAAGTGTTTATGTCTCATTTGATATCAGTAGTCTAGGTGTGAAATCATGGGTGCCTAAACCAACTGCCTCTTAGGCATTTTGAACAGGATGTCCTAGAGGCACCGTACACTCAACCTATCCCAAACAGAACCCATTATCTCCTAGTCCATCCCTCTTTCAGATTTCCCCGTTTCCATAGAGAGCACTGTCATCCTGCTAGTCAGTCATCCACACTGCAACCTTAGTATCATCCTTCACTCCTTCTCTGTCTCCTCACATATCCATTCAGCTGCCAAATCTTGCCATTTTTACCTATACAGCATCTCTCCCATATAACCCCTCTTTTCTGTTCACATAACTACCACCTTTAACATCTCTCATCTGTCCTGTTTCACTAATTTTCTAACTGGACTCCGTAACTGAAACTCCATTCTATTTGTCCTCCACACAGCTGCCCAAGTGATTTTCCTGAAGTGTAAATCTGATTATCTCCTCCCTCTCCTCTACTCATTATACTCTAGTTGCTCCCTATTACCTTTGGGATCAGTTTTAAATTCCTCTTCTTGACAATTAAAGCTCTTCATATCCTAGCCTCAAGCTACTTTTTTTTTTACACAATTGGGGTTAAGTGACTTGCCCAGGGTCACACAGATAGTAAGTGTCAAGTGTTTGGTCTGAAGTCAGATTTGAACTCGGGTCCTCCTGAGTCCAGGGCCAATGCTTTATTCACTGAGCCACCTAGCTGCCCCCACCCCCAAGCTACTTGTCCAAACTTATTATATATTACTCACCTCTACACATTTTATGGTCCCTACTTTCCAGTCATCTCTTCCTAAACAAATATCTTGGAGCCCTGCTGCCCTACTTGGTGACCACCTCCCCAAGACCACTATTTCAGGAAATTCCCAGCTGCTACGATTTGCATCATTCTCTCCTCTCCAACCATCTCCTCCTTGCCAACCCCCTTGCCACTGAGTTCATACCCTTTCCTGCCTTATAAAAATTCCCCTTCCCCCAATTTACAGTCCAGTTAATCTCTGTTCTTCATACATGGCAATCCATCTCCCATCTCTACCTTTGCATGAGCTATCACCCATTATTGGAATGTACTCCCCACAACTTCACCACCTCTTATCTGTTGTCTTATCTTCTGTATGACCTTTCCTAGCCCCCTGTCCCAAATTTAGCTCCTAACCCAATAAGCTGTCTTTATATAATGTGGGGGGAGGGGGACCACTGCCCTATAGCACTTCACATTTCTCACACAATACATATAGATACCTACTCACTCTCTGGGCTGACTTATTTATACTAATCTGTCCTCACACTGGCAGATCTAGTTTCTGAAAGAAGAGCCACAACCACACAATTATACTCAAATGCTCTAGAGGTAAGCCTTTAATAGAGGGAATATAATATACTCTGTCTTCACCATTTTAGCTTGAGAACCCTCATCAGTGCATTTCCATTTATGCAAACTGGATGTTCACAATGATGACAATTTTAGATCTTAAACACAACTATTTACTTAACAAAATGGAAAAAATCATAATAATATCTCAAGTACTCATACAGTAAAGCAAATCCAGGAATAACAAATACCTCACAGTCCACATGTTATACTCTACCACCAATGTACTCAGGTTCTATGAGGAGAATAGACACATACTTATAGAAACCAGGCAGAACACATGAGTGAGAAAAGCCTGTATGCTCATGCTAACTCACAACTATGGTGCAAGCTTCAATGCCATGACCCACACAGGAACATCTATACACATGAGAAGCTGCTTTTCTGCTTCTTCTCTGTTCCCCTTCATTTTCTCACCACTCTCCATCTGGCCAAATCATTTTCTTTCAGATTGATGAAGTCTTTCAACTTATTCTAGAAGAGTACTGTGAAAATGTTACATTCTTGATTTAACTAGCAGTCCCCTTTAAGCCAAAAAAACTACAATGTTTATCAGGTTGGTACTCTCTGGGCAATACAAACAAGCTCAACCCGCTTGTCACGCACTAGCTTGCTGTGCAGGCCAATCAGCTTGTAGCAAACAGAACTCTCAGCAAAACAGGTTCAAAAGCTGTTTTTCCCTTCTGCTCCCAACCACTCCCTTAAAGCAGAAGTGGCTATAGAGAACAACATGAAATTCTGAGAGACTTCAGCTCAGACTCTAGTTGTCTCTGAGGGACATTAGCTGACACCAAACCCTTGCCCAGTTAACTCCAGTCTCTCTTTAGCAAATGAGGAATCTCATAGCTGAAGCCTTTTTCAAGCCGACTGCTCCACGTACTTCTTCACAGGTACTTCTATTGAGCTACAGACTTATCTCCTCCCCCTTTTAAAATTCCTTAATGTTTCTTCAATATTCACTGGCTTACCAGCTTCTGTGATATTACTTAAAATGGCTTATATCAGAGCATTCTCATACTCAGACTCATCTTTCACTTACAATGTAAAACTCTCGAGACCTCCTATATGTAATCCACAGTCCTCATCTAATTATTCCATACCCTCTAACTAATCATAAGATTTTTTATATTATTAATTTTACCCTTCTAAATCTTAAAACAGTTCTATGCAAGTGATCTGATAAGCTCCAACCATTCCACAGTCTTCAATCCAGACTTTCACCGTCTGTATTTTTGACAACTATTTCTGTATGCTTTCATTTCAGCAGTTTTTAATAAAAAAAGTTATCTTCCTTTATACACCATAAAACTGTTTATATACAAAAGCCACAAGCTTTACAAGGTGATTTAAGCCTTTATAGTTATGTTGCAGTTCATTTTCTTTCCCCTTTGCAATCACACTGCTTATAGCTTGTCTGAAAAGTATTTCTTAAACCCAGATTTTTCATTGTTTCTATTAAATCAAAGTTCGTTTTCTTCTCCTTCCAGGCACCAAACTGTTCATCTGTGAAAGAGTCTATAACTTTCCCTTTTCTGATTGATTTAATTTTCTTTATGCAGAAGTACTGTTTCTCCCCCACCCCCCCATCCCAAACTGCTCCATATGAAAAGACAGAACCTTAAAGGGATTGTACCTTACATTTGTAATAAATAATAATAATAGTAATAGTGAAAACTTATATAGGGCCTACTATGTGCCAGGCATTGTGCTAAGAGCTTTACAAATATTGCTTCATTTGATCCTCATAACAACCTTTTGAGGTAGGTATTATTACTGTCCCCATTTTACAGATGAGGAAACTGAGGCAAATAGAAGTTAAATGACTTGCTCAGAGTTGCACAGCTAGCAAGTGTCTGAGGCTAGATTTGAACTGAGATCTTCCTCTCTCCAGGACTGATGCCTTCTTCACTACACCACCTGGCTGCCCTGTATGCATTGTGTTTATAGCTATATATGTTCATGTTGTCTCCCCCCATTAAAATGTAAGCTTCTTGAGATAAGGAACTATTTTGTTTTTATTTTTGTATCCCTAACATCCAGCACAGCTCCTGGCTTTTCGTGAGCACTCAATAAATGCTTGTTGATTGATTCACTAAAGTGATGGCTGTGTAGATCAGAAGAAGAGGTCAGAAGCAAGAGGTATTTGGAAAACAGAAATGAAAACATTTGGCAACTGATTGGTAGAGTGGGGAATCTAGGAAAAATGGCAAGGTTTTTAACGTGGGAGACTGACAGAACGGTGGTGCCCTCGACAGAAATAGGGAAGTTTACTTTCCATTTATAAAAGGGGAAGTGAAACATCATTTATTCTAAATGGTTGACACAAATTACAGAATCAGATGAGACCTCAGAGATCATGTAGTTCATCTAGTATCTTGTACAAGAATCCCTTCTTTAATATCTCCTGCAGGTGATCATACAGCATCTACTGGAAGACCTCCAATGAACCTACCACCCACCAAGGAAGCATGTTCTACTTTGGTTTAGCTGTCATTGCAAGACTTGTTTAATTATATCAAACCTAAATTTGCCTCTTTGTGACTTCCCATTGCCACTAATTGTGCTTTCCCTGGCTAAATGGAATGTCTAATCCTTCCCCCCACCTTGACATACTTGAACACTCATATTATATTTCCCCTATGGCTGAGCATCCCCAGCTCCCTATACTGAACCTCATTCTGAATGCAGCAAAAAATTCTTGAATGGCTATCATATGCCACCATTGTTCTATGTAACAGGAATAAAAAGACGAAAGCAAAACAGCTTCTGATCTCAAGGAGCTTAAGGTAAGAAGTAAAGAGTAAGGTACTCTCAGCACTTAAGGTACTAAGTGAAAGGGGCAAGAAAGAGGTCAGACAATGTTCTATGAAAATTTGAGGTATGAGAAAGCATTAATTACTGAGGGCATCAGAGAGGCCTTCAGAGCTGAGATGGTAGCAGGCCTAAGCCTTGAAAGAATATAAAGGTTCTGGTAGGCAGAGATGTTTTCATCTGTTTTGAATGAATGTTTTCATTCATTCCAGATTAGTTTTGTGAGGACAGGAAGTGAGAATGGGTTGTCCAAACACATGGAGGCAGGAAGTAGATTGTCCAGTTCCAGGATAGCTGCACTGGAATAGTCCATTTGACTGCAATATAGAGAATATGAAGGGGAGGAATGTACAATAAATTCTACCAAGTTCAGTTAACAGTCAATTGTGAAAGGCCTTAAACTGAGGAGTTTGCCTTTCAGTCTAGAGGCAATGGGGAGCCTCAGAATGTTTTTGAGCAAGGAAGTAACATGGCCTTAGGAGGACTATTTTGTGTGTATAGCAGCTTTTATCTTACTAACCAAAAAATCGAAAACTAAAGGAGTACCCACCTATTGGAGAATAGCTAAACAAATTATGGTCTATAAATGTAATGGAAAAGAATTGTGCCATAAGAAATTACGAAATGGGCAGTTTAAGAGGAAACTGGGAAGAGCTCTATGAACTGATGTGGAGCAAAGTGAGCAGTACTAAGAACAGTCTGGAAAATGGCAGCATTTGATTTACACAATGACAGCCAATCACCTTACTCCTCTTTCTCTATTCCTCTATGCCTTTTAAAAGAAGCATTTGTGTGAGGGAAAAAAATGCTTTTAACCTAATTTTTTTTTTGAGTACTGAGCTTAACATTTACTAACTGTATGACCTTGGACAAATCACTTAACTCCTCAGAGCTTTGTGTTCCTTATTTGTAAAATAGTGACAATCAGATTGAAACTACCTGCCCAATAGTAGTGTGAGGAAAATGCTTTATAAATGATAAGAGTATTATATAAATGCAAGTAGTTATAAAGTACAGCCCAATCTACAGATTGTTTGAAACTGTTTTCTAATGCACTTAAGCAAACCAACTAACATCATATGGATTTGCAAGTCATTGTGATGTAATTATGTAGCAAAAAGAAGCAAGAGAAAGCACACCTTAACCATCATGGCATTCTCTTATGTGGTAAAGCCAAATACTAAACTAGCAAACAAAGAGTGATGAGAAAGCCAAGATTTAGAAACCCAACTTATGCTGGGCTAGAAAGAAAGATTTCCAGGGGTCTATTGAAAATGAAAAGAGATAGTACATGAAGAGTTGGAAAGAACCTTAGAATTCTCTCATTTTATAGATGGAGGAACTGAGTCTCAGAGAGGTTGATTTCAACCAGTCAGTCGATGAACATTCATTAAGTGCCTACTATGTACCTGGCATTATGCTAAGTGCTTAAGTGGGGATATGAAGAAAGACAAAAGATAATCCCTCCCCTCAGGGAGTTTATAATCTAAGACAACACACAAAAGTAAATTGAAATGGGATGGGAATGGAATGCTGGGCATGATAAAGTCAAAAAGAGTGTAGCCTGGTGGGAAATGAAGCAATAGGTTGCCTAGGTGCCTTCCTTAAATGGAGGTTTTGGAAGGAGCTCTCTGTTCCACCTTCCGTTTAAAGGGGTCCCAGGAACAGCGGGTTTTGTCCACGGTCACATAGCTAGTAAATGTCAAAGGATGAGTGGCAGAGAAGAGAAGACAAGACAAGAGGATGGGAGGGGACAGCACGGGAGGGAAGGGGAGGAGAGGGTAGGAGAAAAGAGGGGAGAGGAGGAGAGAGTGAGAAGTAGAATAACAGAACAACCAGAAATTGAGTCCAAGTCTATTTCCTGAAAAGTGGATGGGGAAATAATGTGGGAATCTTTGAAACCTATGGTGAGAAAAGCATCCCACACTTTTCTAGAATTTCTTAAAGAATGGAAATTTTCAGTGCAGTTTAAAGGACAATTTATTTTAATTGCCTCCTAATTTAAAAAGTGTTGAGAAATATTATCTTTCCTTAGATGCATTTTTTTTTTGGCTACAATCTATGAGCCATCTCATATAAACTAGCAATGGATTGGCTTGGTAGCACAACCTTCCTTTCTGAAAAGATCCCGTCAATATGAATGAAAAGAAAAGTATATTTTAGTATAGTAGCATTTCATTATCTTAAAGGATCATCCATTTTTGTCTGAAAGCAGTCTTAAAGAGTCTTCTAGTCCAATCTCATTCTACTGATGAAATTGGAATCCTAAAAAGGTTGAGTGACATGCCTTAGACCACATGGGTGATGAGTGAAACAGCCAACATTTAAAGCAAGGTCTTATGACTACAAAATCAGTGTTTTTTTTTCTTTCTACATAACTGCGTGATGATGCCAGTGCAGGACTCAGGTTGTCCATTGCTTATCCCTCACATACGCCACAGGACTGTCCCACCAGCTTCTCTTTTCCAGTCGTATATATGTGGTGATGGGGAAAAAAATGGAAAAGATCTACAAAGGTTTTTATAACATACATTTTTCACCATCAAGAACAGTGAAGCCACCACACTTGGACTCTAACATCACAGTCCTGGCTGTGCTTCTAGGGGAGATCAGAATGGCCTCAAAGAGAAT